TCAGATTTGGCTTTGAATGACCTGCCAGTTATTGATACAAATTTCATTTTCCTCTAACAGAAATTTTTAACTAAACATTTTTTAGTTATAGATGGACACAATATCTTTATTTATTTATTTATTTTTATGTGGTCTTGAGGATCAGACCTAGTGCCTACACATGCTAGGCAAGTGCTCTACTACTGAGCTGCAACACCAGCCCCTAAAAATTTTAAGTTTTTATAGTACCTTATAGTTATATGTAATAGTGGAGTTCATTTTAACATAATGATACATGTATGGAATATGATTTTCTCTATTTTAGTCCATAGTGCTTTCTCTTTCCCTTCTTTCTTTCCCTACCACTATTCCCCTTGCAACTATTCTGCTGGTCTCTTCTATTTATTTATTATTATTTTAATTGATGCTTTATAGATATACCTACACGTGGAACTCAGTGTGGTATATTCATATTAGTGTGATTTTGTCACTTTTGTTCCACAGCTCCTCCCTTTTCCTGTCCCTCCTCCCTCCCCTTCAGTCTCCTCCCTCGACACCACTGATCTACCCTCTATGTTCATGGGATCCCCCTTATCTCCCTATACTTTGTTCTAGCTTCTACATATGAGAGAAAACATTTGACCCTTGATTTTCTGAATCTGGCCTATTTAACTTAGCATAATGTTCTCCAGTTATGTTCATTTACCAGCAGATGCCATAATTTCATTATTTTTTTATGACTGAGTAAAATTCCATAGTGTACACATACCACATTTCCTTTATCTATTCATTGTTGATGGGCACCTGGGCTGGTTTCATAACTTAGCTGTTGTTGAATTATCCTGCTATAAACATTGATGTGGCTATGTCACTGTAATATGCTTTTTTTTTTTGTACCAGAGATTGAACCCAGGGGTAAATCATTGAGCCACATCCCCATCCTTTTTTATGTTTTATTTAAGACAGATAGGATGTTGTTGAGTTGCTTAGGGCCTCACTAAGTTGCTTAGGCTGACTTTGAACTCACGATCCTCTTGCCTCAGCCTTCTGAGTCGCTGGGATCACAGGTGTGCATTACCATGTCCTGATGTAATATGCTGGTTTTAGTTCTTTTGGGTAAATACCAAGGAGTCAGGTAGCTGGGTCATATAGTGGTTCTTTTCTTAGTCTCTTAGCAGTATTGAGTAATCTCAATACTGCTTTCCAAAGTGGTTATACTAATTTGCAGTCTCACCAACAATGTATGAATTTACCTTTTCCATATCTTTGCTTACATTTTTTATTTTTTGTATTCTTGATGATTGCTATTTAATGGAATGAGGTGAAATCTTAATGAATGTAGTTTTGATTTGCATTTCTCTGATTGCCAGAGATGTTGAACATTTTTCATACATTTGTTGGTTGTTTTGTATTTCTTATTTTGAGAAATATTCTCTTGCCTGTTTATTAGTTGGGTTATTTGGGTTTCTTGGTGTTTCGTTTTTTGAATTCTTTATATATTCTGGATATTATTACTGTTCAAGGTTATGTAAAAAGAAACTCTGGACCATGCATATGACATTTTCTGTGTTTTCCTATTGGTATTTATTACATGGTTGTTGCTCAGTAGGTGAATCAAATAGGTTTGATTCTGTCTATTTCTGTCCTTTAAATCTAAAACTCCTTTTACTTTAAATCTATAACTCCTTTTACTTTATAAAGCAAGCCACACTCAGAATCTTATTTTATATAATATTTTTTCTTTCATTGTTAAGTTTAACAAAAGCAGAGTATCTGTACATGCAGCATTGTTTTGCATGCTTTACATTGTTCTACTAAGTTTAACAAAAGCAGAGTATCTGTACATGCAGCATTGTTTTGCATGCTTTACATTGTTCTACACATTTTGCTCATTTAATCAATCCTTTTTTTTAAAAATTTTTTAGTTATAGATGGACATAATACCTTTATTATATTTATTTATTTTGTATGTGGTGCCGGGGATTGAACCCAGTGCCTCACGCATGCCAGGCACGCGCTCTACCACTGAGCCATAACCCCGGCCCCTTAATCAATGCTGTTGATGTTTCTAGGAGATAGCTGCCATTTTTGTAATATCTTCAGGCACAAAAAGATGAAGTCAGTTGTGTTGCTAGGATATTCAGTGAAAGATGAATGGAGAGAAATTTCCCAAATAATTGCTTCCGAGGGTACAACACGTATTTGAATGTTTAATTAATATGGTTGATTAGAAAAGAGATGCTATTATTTTGTGTGGATTTTTTTGTGTGTGTGTGCTGGGGATTGAACCCAGGGCCTTGTGTATACCAAGCAAACACTACCAACGGAGCTATAGTCCCAGCCCCTGATGCTATTATTTTATGATCCTGTCTTATATATTTAGCTTTTCAATTTGTTAAGGGGTTTCCATCTTTCCTGTTGCCAGACATGAGTGCTTTACTTTGAGTGGTGGTGGCCTTTGATTATTTTGATATGTGTCATGAGTACTTTTATTGCAGAGAGAGTGGAGTCCAGAAATTGTCATTTCGGGACACTTTGATGGTGTCCAAGACCTAATGTGGGATCCAGAAGGAGAATTTATCATCACTGTTGGTACTGATCAGACAACTCGACTTTTTGCTCCATGGAAGAGAAAAGACCAATCACAGGTAAAATATCTTACTACTTGACTAACCACATTAAAAAACTTCCACAAGTAAGTGAAAAACAACATTGTTAGCTATTAGAAAAGTGCAAATTAAAACCATGATGAGATATCATTATATATTCTTAAGCTGAACTAAAAAAGAGTGACATTAACAGCTGCTTGTAAAAATGTAGAGTGACTATAACTTTCTTACTTTGCTAATGGGAAAGCAAAATGATCCCACCACTCTGGATATTTGTTTGGCATATTCTTAAAAACTTATATTCGTCTCCTCTTTGTAATTCAAACAATAATTCAAAGTGTTGGTTGTTAAAATGTATTTTGCTTCAATTTCACATAAAAGTTCTATGTCTTATAAGTTTAACTCATTAGGAAGCATTGTTAAATCTATAGTAAAAAATAATTTCTGAAGTCATCTGGTGTTAGATAGTAGTGGTTGAGGTTGGGGGTAGCCTTTTTTTCTTTTACTTTGGCAATTCTGGGGAGATTGAATATAGGGTCTCACACATGCTAAGTAAATGCTGTACTACTGAGCTATATCCCTAGCTTGAGGATAGCTCTTGTTCAAGAAAATTCTTCGTCTTGACCATAAGTTCAGTCACAGGAAAATTTTACCACTGATAAATCCTGAACTTCTATGTGTGAAAGTTAGAATCTTCACCCTTTATTTCTTTAAAAAAATTTTTTTAATTTATTCTAATGTTTTATATATTACCTTCTGAGAAGTGTCTGTTTAGTTCCTTTGCCCATTATTGATTGGGTTATTTGTTTTTTTTGGTTTTTAGCTTTTTGAGTTCTTTATATACCCTAGAGATTAGTGCTCTATCTGATGTGCAAGTGGTAAAAATTTGCTTTCATGCTGTAGGCTCTCTATTCACCTCACTGATTGTTTCTTTTGGTTTGAATGCATTTCATTTATTAATTATTAATTTTAATTTTTGTGCTATAGGAGTCATATTAAGGAAGTTGGGACCTAATTCAACACGGTGGAGATTTGGGCCTATTTTTTCTTCTATTAGACACAAAGTCTCTGGTTTAATTCCTAGGTCCTTGATCCACTTTGAGTTGAGTTTTGTGCATGTTGAGAGATAGTGGTTTAATTTCATTTTGTTTAATGGAGTCCCAGTTTTCTTAGCACCATTTGTTAAAGAAGCTGTCTTTTCTCCAATGCATGTTTTTGGCAATTTGTCTAATATAAGATAACTGTGATTATGTGGGTTAATTTCTGTGTCCTGTATTCTATACCATTGGTCTACCAGTCTATTTTGGTGCCAATATCATACTGTTTCTGTTACTATTGCTCTGTAGTATAGTTTAAGGTCTGGTATAGTGATGCCACTTGCTTCAGTCTTGTTGCTAAGGATTGCTTTAGCTATCTGGGTCTCTTTACTTTTCTAAATGAATTTCATGACTGCTTTTTCTATTTCTATGAGGAATACCATTGGGATTTTGATTGGAATTGCATTAAATCTGTATAATGCTTTTGGTAGTATGGTCATTTTGATGAATATGAATTCTGCCTATCCAAGAGCAAGGTAGATCTTTCCATCTTCTAAGGTTTTCTTTGATTTTCACCCTTTATTTCTGACAAAAATTCATGGTACTGAATAGGAGTCAGGTCATGAGGGCTAGTAAGGTTTGCCAGTGGTCTTGCTGCCACAGTAACACAATCGATCATTTGGAGCATCATCTGTAGTCAGTTGAAAATACAAGTCAAATGATTGGGAATGCTTTACTGTGGCTCTTGTTGATGTGCTACTAGGACTGCTTAGTTGTTTATTTTTGCTTGAGTCTGCCCCATGGTCACATTTCTACAGTTTTGCATCTGATATTTTGCTTGTTGAAAAGAATAGATTTTTGAAACATATGGCCATTTTCATTTCTTCTGTTTTAATGCCCAGGTGACTTGGCATGAAATTGCAAGGCCTCAGATACATGGATATGACTTGAAATGTTTGGCAATGATTAATCGGTTTCAGTTTGTATCTGGAGCAGATGAAAAGGTTCTTCGAGTTTTTTCTGCACCTCGGAATTTTGTGGAAAATTTTTGTGCCATTTCAGGACATTCATTGAGTCATGTGCTTTGTGACGTGAGTATTCTTCTAAAGGTTTCGTTTAAACCTAGTCACTTAATTTTAAATTCTAAGTATTTTTTGCTTTGGGCTGTAGATGGAGTATATAGAAAAAAAAAAGAAGCCATATCACTTATTATTGGTTTGACATATGTTTGTGTGCACTGGGGTGTATGATGGTTTAAATATTAAAACCAGAAAATTGTGTAACAAATGAGCTCAAAACCCTGTAAAGTGGCAATATGATGTTCATTTGAGACATGGGTATTGTGTATTGTCATGTGCTAGCTACCTATGATAAACTATACAAGATGAGAAATTATCATCTTGCTTGTAAGGTTGCAGTAAGGGGGCAGTCTAACTAACATAACATACCTGTAATTATTAGATGAGACCATTAACTGCTAAAGCTCATGGTATAAAAGTCAAGTTTCATAGAAGGAACAGGTCACTGCATTGGAGTAATGACAGCATGTTTAATGAGACTTCATTTGGGTTTTGTAAGAATAAGTTTTTGTTTTGTTCATTTACACCCCTCTTACTAAAGATTTGATCTACTTATAAAAATACATGGGTTATAAAAATCACAAAGTAATTTTGAAGGAAGAGAAATTAAGTAGGAAGATAGTTACATTACACAGAAATGTGGATCTTACAGTCCTTTTCCTAGAACTGGGTCCCAGGTTTGGTTCTGAGCTCAAAAGGGTAAGTACAGTTTTATAGGCAGAAGGAAGGAGAGAAAGAGGAGAGAGGTAGCCAGAGTTTTTGGGGTGTTTGTTGGAATGAAGAGGGAAATGCAAAAGTGAGAGAAGTCAGATCAGGGAAGATTTTGGGAGGCAGGCACACTTCAGACTGTGGAGTGCCATTGGAAGCCCCTTCACAAAGAATGTGGTGAACAAGTATTTTGGAACAAGGAGAATTTTCTGGGAGCCCAGAGATTGAAGGCACAGAAACCAGCACTGATCCAGGTAAGACTGGAGAAGAAAGTGAGAATCATTTGAAATGAAATGCCCTGGAATACTCAGTGCATTGTGCCACAGCATTTCTTAATTATGTAAAGAGGTTTTATGATTTTGTACTGCCCATTTCTAATAATAATGGGCGTCATGAATGAGATCCAAAGGGAGGTCTTGATTGTGATTCCTATATAGTGCTAACATTTGGGGATAGAGGGATAGTTAGTTTTAGGATCTCTTTAGTTTCAGGGATTGAAACGGAGTTTCATGGAATTCCATGAAAGCCTTAGTCCTAGGTATACATTCAATTCCTAAAATACAGGAATCCCTGACAGGCATGGTGGCAGATCTCAGCAGCCCAGGAGGCCGAGGAAGAAGGATTGCAAGTTCAAGCCAGACTCAGCAAGTTAGCAAGACCCTAAACAACTTGGAGAAACCCTGTCTCAAAATAAAAAAAGGGCTGAGGATGTGATTCAGTGGTTAAGCACCACCCCAAGGTTCAGTCCCAGATAACAAAATAAATAAATAAAATATAGGAATTGTGTAAATTGTAATGTCTCTTGATCTCTTTTAGGTTTTACTTCCATTCTAAGTGTTGGGATAGGCATATGGGAAAGCTTGTTATTGTTCTTCCCATGCTATGCTATTTCTCTTGAGTTTTGAGTTAAGCATGCAGTTCCTTGTGTTCCATGTAGTTGTTTTTGACTGTGGTTTAAATTCATATTGCTCAAGTTTGTCTAGTTCCAGCTCCTGTATTAAAGTTTAAATTGTAAGAAACTCTTTAACATGTTCATGGGCCAGTTTTAATGATTAGTATATTTTTTCACATGTAATAACTTGATTGCTTTTAAATCGTGGAATCTAGGCAGAGTACTGCCTCGTCAAATGGCATTCTTATCAAGTTTTAAAGTAGTTTTCAATTACTTAAATATGTTTTTGAAAATACTGTAGGGGCTGGGGTTGTGGCTCAGTGGTAGAGCACTTGCCTAGCCTGTGCGAGGCCCTGGGTTCGATCCTCAGCACCACATAAAAATAAATAAATAAAACAAAGGTGTTGTGTCCAACTACAACTAAAAAATAAGTGTTAAAAGAAAGAAAGAAAATACTGTGACTGTCTCTTTCTAGGATTGGGTATCATCAAGGATGTGCCTTTGAGGCTTTCTTTGGAGGTGGAGCTCTGGCCGTCCGTCCATTTTTACCCTGCTGCATTTCTTGTCAGACCCTGAAACCCACTGAGCTGTAAGGGTTTTATGTGGAAGAGAAGAAGCTGGCTTTATGGATTGGGTTAGGGTGTGTGTTGGAGAATTATTGCTTGAATTGCAATTCTTGGTTCAAGAAGTAGAAGAGTGGGCAGGCGTTCACACTAGCTGGTCTTAAAATGATTTCTCAGCCTTATGATCGTGGTATTATTGTAATGCCTGAGAAAACCAGTAGCTTTTAGTGTTTAAAACTTACATTATCCTATTTCTTATTCCAGCAAGACAGTGATCTTCCTGAAGGAGCTACTGTTCCTGCATTAGGATTATCAAATAAAGCTGTGTTCCAGGGTAAGGCTCTGGTCTCAAATTATTCAACCTCTAGTGGTACCTAAAACCTAGTTACACACTTGTGTGGAATGTACCTAATGACTGCTGCAGCTGATTTTTTTTTTTTTTAAATCACAGTCAACACATCTGTCTTCTCTCATCAGATTTTTGTGATAAATGTATGAGTGAAGACCACTGAAAATAGGAATAGCTTTCAGTCTTTCACAGAGCACTATAATCACAGATAGGAACATAGGAAACTTGAGAATCTGTTGTGTAGTTCAAAAAGTTAACTAGGTCAAAGAAAATGGAAGGAATCTTAATGGAATCTAATGTTTTCAAGAGCTTATTTGGAAAAAAAACTGGAGTGTACCTTTGGCTTTGGAATCACGTGGCCATAGCTTTGAAATACACCACCTTGAGGTGCCACTGCTTTCTTATGGGCAGCATTAGTATTGAGACAGTATAAGAGATATAAAGACAGTGACTCCATTCATGGTGCTGATGTATTTCTTTAACCTAGGAGACATGACTTCTCAGCCTTCTGATGAAGAGGAGCTGTTAACTAGCACTGGTTTTGAGTATCACCAGGTGGCCTTTCAACCCTCCCTACTTACTGGTAAGAAATGATGAGAAGATGATTTAATAGAGTCACTAGTACACATGTATGGTACCTGTTGCTGCTGACTTGAACAGGTGCTATAGAATTTAGTTTATTTGGCTAAAAATAGGAAAAAAAAATCATTGCAATACTTCAAATTTATTGTAGAACCTCCCACTGAGGATCATCTTCTGCAGAACACTTTGTGGCCTGAAATTCAAAAACTGTAAGTTAACTTATAGTTACCTCTCTGGTTTGATTCTGTCATAATTTGGGGATTTTTTTTCCCCCTACAATTTGATTTTCTCCTCACCTGCCCACATTCTCCTTCCTGCTCTACAGAACTTTCGGTAGCTCTTCAAACAAGTGAGAATCACAGCTTACATTGATATTTATGATATTTAGTAGCTTTATTGGTCCTAAGTTTTAAAGTAGAGAAGCATAACTTTTTTTTCCTTTTTAAGTTTTGTTATGCTAACTGGTCTTTTTTGTTCTTGATAGTTCCCCATCATAACATTTCCTTGATTGTTTATTGTATTGTCTGAGGGCAGAAGGTGAAAACTTGTATCTTAATCTGATTATTTGAATGAGTTCTATTACTTTAGGGAGCTGTCATTTTTCTCCAGTCTTCCTGTTTTTTCCCAAAGTATTTACCTAGACAAAAATGTAGTGTTTGTTAAAAGAAATGTGTGTTGCTTGGGAGAATGATGTTATTCTTTTAATTTTTAAAAATGTTGCAGCATGAGGTTAGGTATGTTTACTAATATAGAGGTTATTCATTTTGTTTTTAAATTTTAGATATGGACATGGTTATGAAATATTTTGTGTTGCTTGTAATAATTCAAAGACTCTGCTTGCTTCAGCTTGCAAGGTAAGAAGTTTTACTTTTGATTCGACTTGGTCACAGGTTATTTATGTCATTAGGCTTTTGCAAGTTTGGTAGAAATTTAGGCAGAACTCTACGTCAAAGGCCACTGGTGCCTGCTTTTCCTGAATCTTACTTTCTCTCTCCCTTCTGTCCCTTTAAAAACTTGCAGTTACCTTTTAAATCTATTTTAGTTACACATTTTTGTTCTTTAGAGTCTACCCTTGAAGAATGCAGGGACTAGGGTGCTAACTCCTGTGCACAATTGAAAATCTGCATATAATTTTGTGTATGTGCAGGGGATGGGTGTTGCCAGGGATTGAACCAAGGGCCTCATGCATGCTAGGCAGTTGCTTTACTGCTGAGCTATATCCCAGCCCCATCACATATGACTTAACTCCTTATAGTAACAAAAGGACATGGCTATGAAGTTACTAGAGTAGTGTAGTAATTATGTAATAGACATGATATATTTTATGGTAGTAATGAATGATAAAAAATCAATTACCTACATATATTATGCATTTGTGGCACAACTTTTTTTTAACTTTAATTTTTTTGTTCTTTTTAGTTATACATAACAGTAGAATGTATTTGACATATTATACACACATGGATTATAACTTCCCATTCTTTTTTCTTTTAAATTGTTGATAGACCTTTATTGTATTCATATGTGGGGCTGAGAATTAAACCCAGTGCCTCACACGTGTGAGGCAAATGCTCTACCACAGAGCCACAACCCCAGCCCTAACTTCCCATTCTTGTGGTTGTACATGATGTCGTGTATTCATAAATGAACGTAGGAAAATTATGTATGATTCATTCTACTGTCTTTTTTTTGGTACCAGGGATTGAACTCGGGGCACTCAACCACTGAGCCACATCGCCAGCCCTATTTTGTATTTTATTTAGAGACAGGGTCTCACTGAGTTGCTTAGTGCCTCACCATTGCTGAGGCTGGCTTTGAACTGTTGATTCTCCTAACTCAGCTTCCCAAGCCACTGGGATTACAGGTGTGCACCACCGTGCCTGGCCTCATTCTACTGTCTTTCCCTTTCCCATTCCCTTTATTCCCCTTTGTCTAATTCATTGAACTTCTATTTCCTTGCCTTATTGAGTGCTAGCATCTGAATATCAGAGAGAATATTCGGCCTTTGGTTTTAGAGGATTGGCTTATTTCACTTAGCATGGTAATCTCCAGATCCATTCATTTTCCAACAAATGTCATAGAGTCATTTTTTATGGTTGAGTGATATTCCATTGTGTAAATATATCACATTTTCTTTATTTGTTCATCTGTTCAAGGGCACCTAGGTTGGTTCCACAGCTTAGCTATTTGAATTGAGCTGCTATCAACATTGATGTGGCCATGTCACTGTAGTGTGCTGATTTTTAAAAAAAATAGTTTTCTAGTTGTAGATGGACACAGTACTTTTATTTGTTTATTTTTTATTTTTTATGTGGTGCTAAGGATTAAACTCAGTGCCTCACACACACCAGGCAAGTGCTCAACCACTGAGCCACAACCCCAGCCCTAGTGTACTGATTTTAAGTCGTTTTTTGCTCTGATTTTAAGTCTTTTGAAAACATTCCAAGTTTTCTGAGAATTTCCATACTGCTTTCCATAGTGGTTGTACCAATTTGCAGTCCCACCAGTAATGTATGAGTGTACCATTTCCCCCACATCCTTGCCAATATTTATAGTTGCTTGCATTTTTTTAATATTTATTTTTTAGTTGTAGTTGGACATAATACCTTTATTTTATTTATTTACTTTTATGTGGTGCTGAGGATCAAACCCAGGGCCTCACACGTGCTAGGCAAGTGCTCTACCGCCAAGTCACAATCTTAGCCCCATGTTACTTGTATTCTTGATAATGGCCATTCTGACTGGAGTGAGATGAAATCTTAATGTAGTTTTAATTTGCATTTCTCTAACTGCTAGAGATGTTGAACATTTTTTCATGTATTTGTTGATTGATTGTAGTTCTTCTATAAAGTGTCTATTCAATTCCTTTGCCCATTTATTGATTTTTGATTTTTAAGACATGCCAAACCATTTTTCCAAGTGGTTTTACATTTTACAGTCCCACCAGCAGTGTATTGGCTTTCCAGTTCTTGGTACAGCCAATCCTTTTACCTTCAACCTTTCTAGTATATGTATAATAGTTCAGTGTGGCTGCAATTTGCATTTCTTTAATTACTGTTGATATTAATCATTTTTTCATGTGCTGATTTCCCATCCATATTATCTTCTTTGGTAAAATATCTCTTCATATTTTTGCCTATTTCTTTGTTAGATTGTTTGTATTACTGAGTTTTAAAAGTTTTTTATATATGTTGGATATAACTTTATCATATATGTACTATATTGGTAAGTTTTCCTAGTAGCTTTTCTTTTCATTTTCCTAACGGTGTCACTCAGAGAGCAGAAGAGCTTGTGTTTTCGTGAAGTCTAGTTTATCATTTTTTTCTCTATTGGGTAATCTTTGTCATGTACTGAAGAAATCTTTGCCTAACCAAGCTCATAAAGATTTTCTGTTACATTTCGTTCTCAGAACTTTATTGTTTTTAAATTTACATTTAAATCTAATGAGACATTTTAAAATAATTCTTCAATTTGGCATGGAGTACAGATTAAAGTTGATTTTCTTTGTTGATATAATATCCAGTTGGTCCAGCATCATTTGCTAAGGAGACTGTCCCTTTGCCCCTGTACTGCTTTTTTCCCCTGTCCATTTACATATGAGGGCCTGTTTCTAGGCTTTGTTCAGTTCCATTGATCTGTGTTGTTGTGATGCCAATTCTCTCAGTGACTGTTATTTTTTTTTATAGTACATCTTCTAACTCTTTTTGTACTCTATTTTGGTTATTCTAGGGCCTTTACTTTCCATTTCAAAAACAGTTTGACAGTTTCTACAAAAAATGCAGGAATTTTGATGGGCATTGCATTGAATCTATTGGGAAGAATTTGGGGATAATTTTAACAATACCGAGTTATTTATTTATTTATTATACTGAGGATTGGATCAGGGATGCTTAATCATTGAGCCACGTCCCCAGCATTTTTAATTTTTTATTTTGAGATAGGGTCTTGCTAAGTTGTTTAGGGCCTTATTAAGTTTCTGAGGCTGACTTTGAACATGTGTTCCTCCTACCTTAGCCTCCTGAGCCATTGGAATTACAGGTATGCTCCATCATGCCCAGCTCAATATTTAGTATTTTAACATGTGAATGAAATAAGCCTCTTGTTTATTTAGGCCTTTATATTTCTCTTACCAAGTTTCCCCTGTTTCACCATGTTAATATCTTAAAAGGAATATTTGTAGTTTTCAGTGTTAGGTCTTGCACATATTTTGTCAGATATATTCTTTTTTATATATTTTATATTATTACTGATAATATGTGGAAATATAGTTGCTTTTTGTATATTGCGCTTATGTCCTACAACTTTGTTGAACTCATTTATTTATTACTATTTCTAGAAATTTTATTTTAGATAAGGTAGGATTTTCCACATAGATGCTTATGTTGCTTATGAATGAAAAAAGTTTTATTTCTTCCTTTTCTATATCAATGTTTTAAAGTTTAGAGAAACAGTGACCACAGAGATCATAATCTTGGTCTCCATATCAGGAACAAAACATTTAGTCTTTGTCCATTAAAAATGATGTTTGCTGTAGCTTTTTCATGGCTTTTATCTGGTTGCAGACATTCTGGTTGCAGTTCTGGTTTTCTGAAAGTCTATTAGAAATGGATGCTAGATTTTGTCAATTTTTTTCCTTCATCTATCTCTTTTTTTGTTTATAATTTACATTGAATGATTTATAAAATGATAAAATAATTTTTATTCCTAGAATCAAACCCCACTTTCTCTTAATGTTTTGTCTTTTTGTATGTTGTTGGATTCAATTTATTACAGTTGTTAAAAACTTTTAATAGGGGCTGGGGATGTGGCTCAAGCGGTAGCGCGCTCGCCTGGCATGCGTGCGGCCCGGGTTCGATCCTCAGCACCACATACCAACAAAGATGTTGTGTCTGCCGAGAACTAAGAAATGAATAAAAAATTCTCTCTCTAAAAAAAAAAAATAAATAAAAAACTTTTAATAGTTCTTTTTTAAGTTTTTCAGTATATATTTTTAGTTGTTGATGGATCTTTATTTAATTCATTTATTATTATGCAGTGCTGAGAATCGAACCTAGTGCCTCACTCATGCTAGACAAGCACTCTACCATTGAGCCACAACCCCAGCCCAATAACTTTTAATAGTTCTTGAGGGGTATTGCTCTGTAGTTTTTGTTCATCATAATGGCCTTTTCAAGTTTTGGTCTTAGAGTAATGCTAGTCTCATGCAATCGTCTCCTCTACACTTATCTTAAATTGTTTTTGTAGAATTTCTGTTATACATTTTTAAAAAATTTTTTCATAGAATTCCCAGGTAAATCCAGCTGACTCTGGTTTTTTATGAAAAGGTTTTTAACTACATGTAATTCCTTTAATAGATATAAATAAGGCTATTTAGGTTTTCCGAGTTTTCTTGAGTTCATTTTTGTAGTATATGTCTTTCAGAAAATATGTCCCTTCATCTGAGTTGTCAGATTTACTGACGTGATTATTCATATTATTCCTTTATGATACATTTAATATCTGTAGTAATGTTACCTTTCTTATTTCTGCTATTGGTGATTTGTGTCTTTAAAATTCCTCTCCACACACCTCCCCCCAGCTTTTTGTGGTTGTTTTGTTTTGATTTTTTTAGTGTTCCTGCTGTCAGAAAAGTCTTATTTCTCTTTTAGTATTCAGTGATAATAAAAATGGTGGGTAAAGAATTCTTGGTTTACAGTTGTTTTTTTCTCTTCAATATAGTAAAGATGTTGCACCATTTTCTTTTGGCTTGAGTTGTTTCTGATGAGAAGTCTGCTTTATTTTTTCTTTGTTTTACAATTTTTTTTCCCCTCCAGCTGTTTTTATAGTTTAATATTTGTTGCTAGTTTTAAATAATTTTATTATTGTTGGTATAATTTTCTTCATGTGTCTTATGCTTGGGTTTTATTGAACTTAATGGATCTGAAAGTTTGTTGTTTTCATCAAGTATGGGAAATTTTTAACCCTTATCTTTTCATGTGTTTTTTTGTTCTTGTACTTTTGGAAACTCCAGTTATATTTGGCTGATGTAGTTGTTGAATGATTCAGTAATGCTCCTTGTTTTTTCCCCTCTCTGTGATCCATTTTCTCTCTCTGGGATAGTGTTCTTTGTTGCCAAATATTTATTATTTTGGAATGCTGTCATTTCCTGTATTTTGTCTAGCTTTTTATTTTTTTTCACCCAAGAGTAAATCTGCACTGTAATCCCAGTGGCTTAGGAGGCTGAGGCAGGAAAATCATGAGTTCAAAGCCAGCCTCAGCAACTTAGTGAGGGCCTAAGCAAGTCAGTGAGAACTTGTCTCAAAATAAGATATTATAAAAAAGGGCTGGGATGTGGCTCAGCGGTTAAGCACCCCTGTGATCAATTTTCAGTACACAAAAAAAGTAAATCTAGTCCTTCTTACTCTGTATTCATTAGAAGTGGAAGTCTCTAAACGGTTAATTACAAAGTTAATACATATAGTTATTTTTCTTGTAACAAATTAAAACATGATTACAGCATTGGTTTAATATTTCTAATCCTAATTTCCCTTTCTTTCTAATTTCCCTCTCTTTCTAATCCTAATTTCCCTCTCTTTTCCCAGAGATTAGCCTTCATTGTTAACCTGCTAAGAGTTGGGTTTTTTTTTCCACATTTAACCAAGTACATAAAATATATTCATAAAACAATATGTTAATTTAAAAAATGTTTTCTTTTTTGTTTATTTCTGCTTAAACAACTTCATTGTTTCATCTCTTTATAGGCAGCCAAGAAAGAACATGCAGCTATCATCCTTTGGAACACTACCTCTTGGAAGCAGGTTCAGAATTTAGTTTTCCACAGTTTGACTGTCACGCAGATGGCCTTCTCACCAAATGACAAGTTCTTATTAGCTGTTTCCAGAGATCGAACCTGGTCATTGTGGAAAAGACAGGATACAATCTCACCTGAGTTCGGTAAAACATGTTGTGATTGAGAATGTTACTAGTAAAACAGTTATGTCTATTTTATCCATGGTAAGCAGCTATTGGGTTAAGACAAGTAGATAAGAGGGCAAAGACAGAGTCTAATGAATGTGAGTTCTCAGATGACTGAGGAAGACCTGGTCTTGCATGTCATATCTAAATTCTTACTTCTTTGGAACTTTGTAGTCAGATGGCAGGGTTCAGACATTGCAGTTAAAGAAACAAAATCTGTTTGGAGAAAGTTAATTTTTGTAAGTGGTCATAGATTACTGCCACAAAACCAGGTAGATGACATTCTGAGCTTAGATTTTATTGAAATGAAATAATGAAGGTACTTCTAAGAAACTTGGAATTAAGTGGTTTCTGTTTTCTTTATGAACTGTCTTATGAATATAATAATTTAAATTATGAAACTTAGAGATACCATTATCTTTGGCCTTTTCCTGCCCTTCCCTGCTACTTTGATCATTAGGAGGGGTTTGGTAGGCATCTGTGAATTACATGACCCTGGGCAATGTCTTAACCCCCCCACCCACAATTACTGTAAGGTTTGCATAGATTTTAAAAAGAAAAGGAATAATAATAATAAAAAAAAAGCTTTGTGTCATTGCATCAGTGTCCTATAACTATTCCCTATTTTCTTTGGGGGGTTAATTTTAGAGGGTGTTTAAAGTATATTTGTATTTTTAATCGTATTATTTTCCATGGATATATGACTTGCATACAACTTGATTTTGTGATACTTCTAGTCTCTTAGTTTCTTATATTTCAGAGAATATCCAAGACATATAAGACATGCTTATAGGATGGGTTAAAACAGCTAATTGGTACTTGACTTACCATGGTTCGATGTAGGGTTTTTTGATTTTACAATAGTGCACAAATGATGTATGTGATTTTTTTTACATTATGTGATTTCTATATTTGATAGAACCTATACTTTTAATTTTGAGTTTTGATCATTTCCTGTGCTAGCCATATGGAGTGTGATGCCGGGCAGTGGCAGCAAGCTGCAGCTCCCAGATAGCTGCATGATTACAAAGATAAACAGCTCACATTCTACACCATATTGTGTTGCTAAGATATAATGTTTGGTAGGTTGGGTGTATTAAATGCATTTTCAACTCAGTCTTTTCAGTTTAAGGTGGCTTCATCAGGACATAATACATTTGTAAGTTGAGAAGCATATATATTTTCTTTTGCCTCACTAGTGATTTATTTCCTCACATGCAGCATGTGTTTTTCTTTTAAAGTTAAAATGTTATTAATAATACACGTATTAATTTGTTGTATCTTTGTGGATTATGGATTAATAGATCTACTCTCCTTCCCTCCTCCTGAGCAGTTACATGTTTTAGGTCTAGTCCATATAAGGGTTAATTTCATTAACATTTAAATGTTACATGGAAAGTATTTTCTGTAGCTCTTCTTTTTTTAAGAACATTAATTTTTTTTTAATGCTGGGGTTCAACCCAGCCCCTTATGTATGTGAGGCAAGCACTCTACCAACTGAGCTATATCCCCAGCCAAGAACGTTAATCTTTTTTTTGCAAATCTGGCTACTTGCAGAGTAAGGATGCATTGCTTTTGGCTTCTTCCATGGGCATACATTGAACTTTTAGTTATTGTTTGGAAGAAGTTTGTTTTTAGTCACAGAATACTAGTCAGTATAAAAGCATCTCCTGCTTGAAAAACAGCAGCATGCCACAGCCTTCTGCTGAGCTCTCAGTTGCCTGGCCTTAGTCTATTACAAAAGTGAGAATATGTAAATAGATTACTGAATTGCATGATATATTTGGTACTTAAACATGAACTTTCTAAAAGTTTTTTTTTTTAAAAAAAAACAACAAAACTGCTTTCTGTGCTTTGTGAGTGATGGTTACATATTTTTTTCAGACCCAATTTTCAGTCTCTTTGCATTCACCAACAAAATCACTTCTGTGCACAGTAGAATTATTTGGTCTTGTGACTGGAGTCCTGATAGCAAGTATTTCTTCACTGGGAGTCGGGACAAAAAGGTAATTTTTAAAAAATCTAATATTCTTTGAAGTGTAAAATAACATTTTTATGTTTGAATTTTTAAAAAATCACATAATCTTGCCTTTCTGATACAACTTTTAAAAATCAGATTATTTTGTGTTTTTATATACATACATGATAAAAGCTTTTTTTAAAAAAAACTTGTTGCATTCTGTAAATACTTGCTCTGAAATATCAAAAATATGAAAGGAAGACCTTTCAGACAAATGACGTTCATCAAATATCCCCAGTGGGAGAAAAATAATAAATTGAACGGTTCAAGTCTAAGAAACTAGGAGCACAGGAGAGGGAAGGAGGGAACATAGGTGGAAAAAAGTTTTTAGTTTTTCTGATTCATACTTCCATGAACTTAAACATTTTTCTATAATGAATTATTATAGTCTTTTTATTCAGTGATAAAAAAGGGGCAGAATGTGACCCAAACTTGGAAAAATAACAAAAAACAAGCTATATGTTCTTTTTTTTTTTAATAATTTATTTTTTGGTTATAGGTGGAAACAGTGTCTTTATTTTATTTTTTATGTGTGCTGAGGATTGAACCCAGTGCCTCACGCATGCTAGGCGAGCGCTCTACCTCTGAGCCACAATCCCAGCCCTGCTATATGTTCTTGAATGTGACCTTTACCTTTGTCTTCTGGAAAATGTCCACCTGGCCTCCATTCTTTCCTTTTTTTTTTTACTCTTTAAATTGTCCTCTCCTTTTTCTGCACTCCTACAGACTGGAAGTGGTGAAGCAGCTTAGTGCTTTCTTTCCTCTCCTGCCCTCTACAGTCATAGACATGAAACAAATTACTGAAGCAGAGAATTGGCACTGGCATGGTGTCACTCAGGTTAAACACTTCATCATCTTTCTCCAGATCACTACTTCTGTTCACTTGCCTGTTCCTCTCTTCCCTGGTGTTTATTTGCCTGTGCTATGCTGGATGCTGAGGAAGCAGGGCTGCTTCTACCCTCCACAGACACACTTAGTAGATATGATCCAGCCATAGCTCTCACATGTATCAGAGCTGGAACCAACCAAGCAGCATTCATTGCACCTTCTCAGAAATATACTTCTGCTTTTGGTCAGAGCTTACTGCTCAGAATCTTGCTTTGGACCTGCAATTTGCAACTATTGTTCATTTCACTCTCCTTTCCTTTCTTGGTGACTGTTCAAATACCCTTAGGCATGAGCTTCCAGGGAATCCCCATTTCTTGTGAGGGGTACCATCAAGGCTAAGTCCTCCTGATCTCTGAGTTCATTCTCAGATACAGAATGAAGAGCTAGAGACGTGATAAGTCTTCATAAATTTTGTGGTTACTTCTCGAGGAAGTGTTTATGCCCCCTCAGTAACGACATGACTGGTGGAATTTCACTGGATCAGAACTGGTTTGTGAGTATAAAGACATATTAGACACCTCCACGATCCCTGGACAGGACAGTCCATCTGTAGACTTAGTTGAAGTCTCAAAGACTGGGATCTGCTACACTGTGTCTGTGATTCTGGAAATGCTCTGAAGTTCTGGAACATCAAGCAAAAATATAAATGCTGAGTTTTTTAAACACTAGAGGAAATGTGTTTCACTATTCATACCATCAGAATTCTAATACATTGCTAGAAGGCTTGCAAAAAGAAAGCTTTAACTAATGTGACCTGTCTGTTAGGTGGTTGTCTGGGGTGAATGTGACTGTGGTGATGACTGCATTGAACACAGCATTGGCCCCTGCTCCTCTGTCCTGGACGTGGGTGGGTCTGTGACAGCTGTCAGTGTTTGCCCTGTGCTTGACTCTTCTGGAAGGTTAGTCTCTGTGGTGGAGGGGCTTGGTTTTATATTTGCTTGAAGGGGATTTTTTTCAATATCATTTCAATTCATGGGTTCTCTTTGCTTCTGAGTTGCTGTTATTTTTAAGATGTTTATGTTTCTCATAAAATTTTTAAATTGATAGAACTCAGTGATTGGTAAAATACACATTAGGACTGTGACTCTAAGGGTTTTTATTTCACTGATAACAGGACTGTAGTGCCTTCTCTGTAATAAGCATCTTCTGTAGAACATGGGTTCCTACACCCAGTTTGGGAAACACTGGCTCATGGGCTTTGCCATCTTGAAGCAGAGTTAAACCTGTGTGCTCTTTCTGTAGAGAAGGGCTCCTTGAGGACACAGTATAGCAACACATTGTATCTTGAGTGGGCACCTTTAAACAGAGTCCTTTATAAGCCAGGGACAGTTTGGGATACTGTGAAGAGCTGCTTTAGAGTGATGGTGGAGATAACAGGAATGGAATTCATGCCGAATTAATCACTGTCATCCTCCTCCCTTAACAACAGATACGTGGTTGCAGTTGGATTAGAGTGTGGAAAGATTTGCTTATACACCTGGAAAAAGACTAATCAAGTTCCAGAAATAAATGACTGGATTCGTTGTATTGAAACAAGTCAAAGGTATTGTCTCATATTTGCTTCCATCAAATTTAGTAGAAATTACAGGGTTTTTAGTGGCAAATTTTATGCCACATTTCCATGGAGAGGAATAAAAACCTCTGTGGTGTTTACCACTGAGTGGTACCTCTGGAAATTAATGTTTGTTATTATATTGGACTTTTTTTTTTTAAGTTTCCTTGATCAGATTGCCTGTTTACATGATATTGTGTTAACAAATAGCAACCATTTGAGATGAAAGTGGATTTAAAAAATTTTGTTTTGTTTTGTTTTTGGTGGTGCTAGGAGTAGAATCCAGGGTTTTGCACATGCTGGGCAAGTGGTTTACTGCTGAGCTACATCCCTAGACCCCCAAATAGTTTTCCTAATACTGTCTTTTAGAATTTCACTATACAGATTTTTTAGTAAAATTTGATACAAAATGTTTGTGATGTTTAGAAATATTACAGATTGTGCTTTGGTAGTCATGTCTTTATAATTGAAACTATATTGCCTATTCCATAATGGAGCAACTGCAGGTGCCCCACAGAATCCCATGACTTGCTTTCAACCACTGCAAGGGCTTCCTGAGCACAGGCCTTTACCAGCTGAGCACATGTAAACACCTGCTGTTTATAGCCACCTTCCTATACCCAGTCACCTAGATAGCAGAGACAAATTTTAACTACTTTAAACCCATATTAGCCCTTAAAAATGTCTATACTTTCAATAAATTACTGTCATTTTGTATCACATTTTGGTAGGATTCTTCAACCTTCATATATTCATACTGTCCTAAATATAATATCAAATACAACTTCAAATGACAGTATTGTGTTGAGGGTAGATGGCTTAATGGAGAGAAATTGTGAGCCTGTCCTTTACAAGATATTATATCTGGTGGAGCTTGTCTCCATGTCAGCCAAACATGTTAGTGCTCCTTCTCAATTGTATTTGTTAAAATGAGATTATGCCTTTTTTATCATATTCCCTGGGCCTTCTCTCCCATCTCTCACGCTGACTATAGCAGTTGACACAGTTCATGCTATTGGTTTGCTCAAGAGAGAAGAAATGCAGTGAAATTTGAAATTTTGAAATTTTCTCTTTTCCTAGGCTGCCCTCCCATCCCTTTTTCTTCTTTCGCCTTGCCCGTCCACTGCCTCTGACCTGGTACCCAGACCACTTCCAGGGCCCCATGGTGGGACACTGGCAGGAAACTCCTTAGAAAGCATAGAAAGGGGATGTGTGTAGAATTTGGGTTTTTTTCCCCCCAAGATTTTTTTTATTTATCAGTAAAGTGACTTAAATTTGCAAGGTAGACTAATTCTTGACTTAATAATTGTATTATTTGGATTAATATTCCAGTTACTAAATTTCAAGTTTTTGCTGGTAATGAGATTCAAAGTAATATAAGCAACATTATCTTTTTGTTTGATACTGGGAATTGAACCCAGGGGTGTTTAACTACTGAACCACATCCCCAGCCCTTTTTTGTCTCTTATTTAGAGACA